CCCCCTCCAGCCCCTACACCCCCTCCCTATTTCTGTCAACGTCTCCAGCCCCTACACCCCCTCCCTATCTCTGTCACTTCCTCCAGCCCCCTACACCCCTGCCCTATCTCTGCCACCTTCTCCAGCTCCCCTGCTTAGCACCCTCCCTCACCATTGCCCCCTGCTGCTTCAGGACCCTTTACAACACAGTAGGTACGGGAGTGGGACAGAAGCTGGGAATTCTGCAGCGAGTAACTCCCCTCCTGTCTTCCCCACCACCGATTGTCCACCATCGACAAGGCACAAGTCAGGAGTGTGATGGAATACACCCCACTTGCCTGGATGGGTGCAGCTCCAACAACACTCGAGAAGCTCGACACCGTCCAGGACAAAGCAGCCCCCGCTCGATTGCCACGGTAACCCCCATCTTCAACCCTCACTCCCTCCGCCACCAACGCACAGCGGTAGCTGCGCTCACTAGGAATGCTCAGCTGAGCTCCAACACCGACAGTGTGTACCGTCTACAAGACGCACTGTGGCGACTCGCCGTGGCTTCTCCCAACGGGACGGCAGGCCCAAGGGGCCGAATGGCCCGCTCTTGCTGCTGTTCTTTTCCTTCTGGTGATGGTTGCGAGCTGTTTGCTGTGTTGGTTGGAAGCTGGGGAAAGGCCCCCTGACCACACAGATCCCCGATTGGCTTACACTGAGCTCTATGTCGTCCAGCTGAATTTCCCAGCGCACCAGGCTGTGAGACACAGGGGATCAGACAGTACTTGGGGGGGGGTTAAAAGCGAAAACTGTCAGATCACAACTGGTTCTCAGTCAGGCCTCAACCTCTCTCTGCTGCCTTAGAGTTGCCAAGTCCCTGAAACGTCAATAACATCCACTGACCTCCCCTGGAAATACGTTCATTGATCTAGCCTCCAACAACTTTCAGGGGGTAGAGAATTCCAAACCCATCGCTGCTGTGGGGACTCAAAAAGTCTTTGACTCCGTTCCTTGTCAGTATCTTGAGATCATGCGGAAATTCGGAATCAGCCTTGTTGTCATTTCAGTTCAGAATCTAGGTCAGCTCATCCCCAGAAGGCAAGGTGTATTTATACAGGTGGATTTCTCACTCAGTGAATGAGTATTTAATTGCAGACAAAGCTTCTCAGAGCCCGTGGAATTGTACTGTGCAGAAGAGGCCATTTGGCCCATTGA